CCAGAACTGCAGGGTGTATAGGAATGCCGAGTTCTGTGGTACTGACCATAGATTAGTTGTGGCTACATTTCGGGTCCACTTCAAAACTCCCCAACAGGGCAATGATTCTGTGTGACACCTTCAAGCACAAAACGCTTAACGCAGCCCCAAGAATCGATTGGTGAACGCACAAGAGAGAGACAGAATTTTATCTTGCAGGAGACAATGGAGGCTACAGATGCTTGTTGTGTGGCTCCTCTGACAGGGGGTCGGGATTTGCACCGTTCTCAGGTGCACAGAATTCGGTCTCTGTTGAAAAGGGACAAGGAACAGCTTATTGAAGTCTTGCAGAGGAGGTCGAAGACCATTTCTTAGTAAATAACCTTCGTCCTGCCTGTCAAGCCCTAAGAAAGCTGAATTTCAAGCCCTCTTCACAGGTGACCTTTTCACTCAGTAAGTGGCCAGATTGTCTCAGATCCTGTTGCGGTGCAGGAGCGTTGGGTATTTTGAGTAATTTGAGCAACTGTACGGATTTGATTCACCAACAGTTAACTTGGATATGGGTAGTGCCGAGATTCTGTTGCCGGACCCACCCTACCTAACATAACTTAAGGGGACTGCAGCAATCACCGAGGCATCACACTGCCCAGTATACCAAGCAAGGTTCTCGCCCACATCCTTCTGAGACGTATCAGAGGCCACATGCTGAGGCACCAGAGACTACAGCAATCTGGATTCACTCCTGGTAAGTCCACAATAAATCCTGGCACTTCAAGTCATTGTAGAGTGCCGCCCTGAGTTCAGATCATGGGGTACTGTTGGTGGGACCACGTGTCCAACCAACGGTTGCACCATGAGACTGGCACAATCTTGCACAATCCGTGATTGCCCTGGGTGGAGGAGACCTGTGGGACGACCTAGAAAGTCGTGGCTTGGCCAACTCAGGCTATACGGTCACCTGTCTCGCTTCCTACAGAATGACCTGCCCCCAGATTGTCTGTACGAGACAGCCCTGGCACAATCTTGCACAATCCGTGATTGCCCTGGGTGGAGGAGACCTGTGGGACGACCTAGAAAGTCGTGGCTTGGGCAGATCGATCAAACCTGTCGTGAGGAGCTGGAGATGGGCGAGTCCCTACTTGGCGGCTTACCATGAGGGATCCTTGTAGGTGGAAGAAAAAGGGTGGATGCGGCTATGCGCCCCCGTCGGCATTAGCTCCCCGATGATGATGATGATGATGTGTATCTTGGGTCACTTACAAATATCTTTTCATAGGCACCATATAACTAGCATAGGTTTCCCCTCATACACTTATAGGACCTTATACTTTCAGGTTCTGTGCCAGGAGTTTACTCCTTCAAGGCGGATCGCCTCCTGTACCTGACGCCGTCGATGCTCTTGCCCTACGAGGACGCCAAGGCCCTGTGCGCCAGGATCCCCGGCCACCGCCTCGGGATGTACAAGACGGTCCAGCAGCTGAACATGTTGGAGGAGTACTGGTGCCTTCCTGGGAACTGTGAGTGGGTCGTAACCTGCGGCACATTGATTTCGATTCTTGATTCGCTTTATTAGGAAATAAGAGTTAGTTTTGTCTATATATGAATAATATATATATATATATATATATATATATATATATATATATATATATATATATATATATATATATATATATATATATATATATATATATATAGATATATATATATATATATATATATATATATATATATATATATATATATATATATATATATATATAGTATATATATATATACATATATATATATATATATATATATATATATATATATATATATATATATATATATATATATATATATATATATATATATATATATATATATATATAGTATATATATATATATATATATAATATATATAGGTATGAATGAGACTGGATATCTTCACAATACAAGAGATGTATTTGACATTTGTCAACATGGATCCGGTTCATATATATATATATATATATATATATATATATATATATATATATATATATATATATATATATATATGTTTGTGTGTGTAATTGTTTTATGTCACTAGGTCTTATCTTTACCAAGTGTACTTACATGCCTGTCTGCCCCCCATCAACTTCATTGCAACCTTTTAGGGGTTGCCGCAGATCCATATAAGACCGGTAGCACCACTTCTGTTTGGCTAAATGAACCCAAAAATGATATAGGTTTCCCCCTAAGAATATTCCGATGGTTGTTATATGGAACACTTCGTCATCATAAATAAAAGACATATTTTTATTTTACTTCTCGTCAATATCGAGTAAACTAATCCGATGTCGTTAGCTCTCCACCTTCTCTTTGCCCCTGGCAAACTATGTTATCCTATGTTGTTGTCAACGTAAATTGATCGAGTTTCAGTTAAGTTTCAGCCAATGGTTAATAAATGAAGGAAGAGAGGCGGGGCTTAGCTTGACAGTTGCCAACTAGGATTTTCATTGAGTTTAGGTGGTGCTACCTAAGTGCCTTGAAGTTCCAATGAACTCCAGTGCCTTACGCTTCAGTAAGTCCATCACTCACTACCTCACTCTCTCTGCAACGAGACAGTACCTGGTCTTCTCTTCTCTCAAGGTCCCGCTGCCCTGTACATGTACTTGGAAAAGACATCCAAAGGGGTCCTCTTCGGCGACGGAACGCCTCTCTCTGCCACGGAGATCGGAGGGACGGACGTCGTTATGAACGCCCCCGATGCGTACACCTTCATTTTCTACAACAAGAAAGTGGATGATGACTATCCAACTGCAGCGAAGTCTTTCCTGTGTCAGGCGAACCCGATGGAAGTAGGGTGGTAATAGGAGGGAGGAGGAAAGGAGTGGGGAAGAGGGGAGGACGGAGGGAAAAATGGAGAGAAGGGGAAGGAAAAATGGGGAGGGAAGGAGGAGGGAGAGGGGGAGGAAGGGGAAGGGAAAGTGAAGGGGAGAGGGATGGATAGAAAGGAAGGAGAAGAAGAAAGAAGGAAGGGAGGGAGGGAAGGAAAAGATTAAGAGAAGAGGAGGTTGCAGGAGGAAGGAGGAGGGGATAAATGGGGTGGGAGGGGAGGAGTGGGACAGGGAAAGGAAAGAAATGGAATAGGGAAGAGGGAGAAAGAGAAATAAGGAAGAAAGATTTGAACTAAGGAAGAAGAGAAGGGAAAAAAGAAAGATGAGAGAAGAATGGAAGAGAGGAGGGAGACAGAGGAATAAAGAGGAAAGAAAAGAACGAAGAAAGAAAGAAAAATGAAGAGAGGGAACAAGGAAGGAAGGAAAACGCGCAGGGAAGGAGGAAAGGAAAGGGAAATAATAGCAGAGGGAAAATATAGAGTATGGCGTGTACAGTACGTGAAAATGTGAAGAGAAAACATGGCACTGGTTGTGAACTATATTGTTGACGTATATATGTATGAGTCCGAGCGTTTTTGTGTACTTAAAAATATGAATGATTTGTATCTGTGTCCGCTATATTTGTGAGATGGGTAGAGGGAGGGAAGGGAAGAGTTCAGATTCAAATTCGAACACTTAATCCATTAGTTGGTTCATCTTTTGACAGGGTACAGGATAAGCATAAACAGTATTTGGTACATGAGTATGAGAGTTAGAAAATATGTTAACATTATTAGAAATTGAAGTATGTTGTTCGCTTTGCATTTAGTTGGCTGATGTCACTGGCAATTTAAAAGACGCACCTTTAATTTGAAAAGTATTCAGGTTGGAAATGTTTCTAATATTTTGAAGTGGTTCCAGATCTCGGATCCACGACTTTGCATTTATCTGGACCTTTTTTCCGAATGTGATTTGACGTTCAGAGTGTTGACCTTTGTTTGAGCACCTTTGTCACAGAGGCATCAGCCAATTAGAACATGAATTTGTAAAAGAGTATACGTGTATCTTATTGACCTTTTTGTTGAACTTTTAACCATTTTAGTTTGTTTACATGAGGGGTTTTGAAGTAAGTCATTTGTATTGGCTATTGCTACTCTTATATATAGACACACACCTATGTGTGTACATATATGTCTGTTTAGGCCTTTTCGCACCACTCCTTGTCCAATCATCGTGCACCTACCTGCTTTATGCTGTAATGAGCCCAGGGCACAATGAGGCCTTGGTATTTGAGCCCATCTGCCTGTGTTCGCACGTGACTGCCTGCGCTTGGTAAGAATTCCCTTCCCATCGCTCCTTAACACTTTATTGCCATCAGGCGCCGCAGATTCCCGTTGATGGCATCGACCCTCCCGGTTTCTATGGGTCGCACATTCTACATGCCACACAAAACGGGTTTTTATTCGCGCCATCACTGAATATTTAATCACCCAATTCTTATACAGTAGACAGAAAGCAACCTTAATGATACATTCCTTCCTCACGAAATGGGGTCTTACTTAAAATGAAAATACGAATAAAGTCGGGGTGGCAAAATTCAGGAGTTTTCCTATCCTACCAGAGAGAGAGAGAGAGAGAGAGAGAGAGAGAGAGAGAGAGAGAGAGAGAGAGAGAGAGAGAGAGAGAGAGAGAGAGAGAGAGAGAGAGAGAGAGAGAGAGAGAGAGAGAGAGAGAGAGAGAGAGAGAGAGAGAGAGAGAGAGAAAGAGAGAGAGAGAGAGAGAGAAAGAGAGAGAGAGAGAGAGAGAGAGAGAGAGAGAGAGAGAGAGAGAGAGAGAGAGAGAGAGAGAGAGAGAGAGAGAGAGAGAGAGAGAGAGAGAGAGAGAGAGAGAGGGTAGACAGACACAAAGAGGGGGGGTGAGAGTTAGAGACCCAGATGCTCTGGTCTGATAACAAACGTCATAATAAACCTAGGGCACCGTCGTGTTCACTGCCTCCTAGTTCCTGAAGCACCGCCACGGTCTCACGGCCTTCCGACTGCACCAACGTTCTGGCCGAAGGAACTGATGGAAAAGGCAATGAAAGGTGTGACCACAAGGCCCCTCCGCCCTCGAGCTTGGATGTCGCTTCCCTGAACCTGGTCGAACGAGGAAGGTCCTCTCGGAGAGGAAATCGGGCACGAAGACCCAGGTGTCCGGTGTTCATGTCGGGCGGCTGGAGCTAACAGAGACGCTCAGACTGCGAGGCTGGAACTCGACAGCAAGATTCCCGATTAGTAACACATATATTTCAGCCAATGAAAAGAAATAGGAGTTCCCAATGCACAGCAATCCCTAGGCATTTCTCAACATTCCAAAATGTTAGGCCCGTGCTTTTAAAACGTTTCGCCAGTGCTGGCGTTCGCCTGGCGAACATGTGAGTGAGGGAGGCCTTACTTTTAAACCCAACGTTCGCCAGGGCGGGCGATCGCCATGCCTAGCGAACGAAAGGGATCGCCAGGCGCTAACATCTTGCATTCCTGCTAAACCTAGCGCAAATTTGTTTACATCTGCAGTGCACATAGGATAATCTAAACTTAATTATTAACCTTGAGAGAAGACGAAAATGTTGTCTCCGTAATAGTCTCACTTTATACTATAACAAAGGAGTTAAAAATTAACTTTATGCTAAAACAAAGAAGTTAAAAATAACTTTATACTATAACAAAGGAGTGAAAAAATAATTTTATACAATAACAAAGTTAACTTTCTACTATATGCTGTACTGTACTTTATACTATAACAAGGTTAACTTTATGGCCCGTACTTTTAAAACCTTTCGCGTGCTGGCAAAATGGTTTCGCCGAGCGATCGGGAATTTCGTACCATTAAAAGCATGACAAGTGTTCGCCGGGGCTGGCGAACGATCGTATTGGAACAGCCTGGCGAAGCAAAGTCGCAAGAGGTGTTTGAATACCATTTTCTTGCTTTCAAATTATAAATTAGTAACATATTTGTGTATGATATGATGTAGAGATCACATTGTAATTCTAAAATATCTCAAAATCATAATTGATTATGAAATAATAACGTATATACGTAGTTTTTTTTTCAAGACCTTCGATGTTCCAGTGGAGAGCTCAAGACATCAGCTATTCCTCCCCCCCCATCCCCACCCCCCGACCCCCGAGATGCGATATTCTGAGCTGACATACGTTCAAACACAGAGGGAGCCGCCACCACGGGGATAGGGATCCCGACCCTTAGAGTTTAACAATATCTCTGGTGATTGACCGAGATCTTTCTTCGGAGGCTGTTCAGTGTTTACTATCAGTTGCAGGTTCTTTTTGTTTATATTAAATTTGTTAAACCTTTTGCTCATTTACTTTTATCACAGCTCTAAGTTACAATGTAATTACTTTTATTTCTTCGTAATCTTTCAGTTATATTGGTTCTTAGAAAGAAAGGAATTAAATACCAGATTAATTAGATCTTAAATATATATTTATATATTTACGGCACATACAACCTACTACAAAACCACAATAACAGACGAAATACACGTACACGAGACACAAAAACAAACGAAAATATTCATAAGCAAATGAAAAATGAATACGCGGACATAGAAATGCTAATCTATAACGAATACGAAAATGCAACAGAAAAACGTATATACACAACACTATTATAAACGAGTAACGCACACAGTACGAACATGTAAATACAACACAATTGTCGGCACTTAACTCGCGATCGTCAGTCACTATGAATAATCGTTCACTTTACGCAATCACTGCAACGGCGGACTAGCGCTCGCTTTTGTCGGTGCACACGGAAACGGTATGACACGCACATGCAGAAGAGCTGTCCCAAGGACCTCTGTCGCCGGCCGCGGTAAGGTGGCATCTCTCCTCCCGGTTCCAACAACCTTGGGGGTTACTTCGGCGACCTGGCGGCAGGTACACAGCTTGTTTGCATATCCCAATGCCGCTCGAGGTAACCACTTGTGAGCAAGCAGACCGCCATTGTTGTTGTTCGGCGTGTCATGCAAACGGGCGAAGAGGTCACACGGTCATCTGGGGCCAAAATGCGTGCTGTCCTTGACTGTGCTGCCAGCATCCGAATTCTTGCACGGGAAGTGACATGGGCGGAAAGGGGTCGTGTGGGGCCAACGAAGAGCATGTTCACTACAGACTTATTTAGATTTAGGTTGTAGGGATAATTTATTTTTCACAAATGTTACCAAAAGTGTTTTGATGATGGCATGTTTACTATGGGCTATAGAAATAGCTGTAATGCTCCACCGCTCTATAATGAGGAGTGTCTAACCTAACCTAACCTAACCCTTGTAGCATAAAGTTAAGTTAACTATTTTATATCGGTTAAGTATAGTAAAATGATTAATTTTTAACTGCTTTGTATAAAGTGAGGCTATTACGGATATATTATCGTCTTCTCCCGAGGTTAAAAATTAAGCCTAGATTATGTTAGGTAAGGTATGATAAGGTAATATAATATCAGGGGATATGGTATAAGTAAGGTAAGGTAAGGTAATATATTAAAAAAAATCCCTGCTGTGTGCCAACAATATATATTTACTTTACTTATGTTTATATAACGCACTGCAGATGTAACAAATTTGCGTTTCCCGCGTTTTTTTTCATTCGCCGAAGCACTAGATTTATCAGGAATGTAAGATAGCGCCTGGCGATCCCTTTCGTTCCCCAGGCCTGGCGAACGTTGGGTTTTAAAAGTAAGGCCTCCCGCACTCAGATGTTCGCCTGGCGTAGCTTCGCCAGGCGAACGCCAGCACTGGCGAAAGGTTTTATAACTACTTTATACTATACTATATCAACTTTATACTTTTATACAAAAATAACTTTATACTTTAAGAAAGTAGTTAAAAAATTACCATTTTACTATACCTAACTGATATAAGATATTGAACTGTAGGCATACAAGGGTATCCTCAGACACGCCTCATTATAGGGCGGTGGCGCACTACAGCTATGTTTCTTGTCATGCTTTTAAAGATACGAAATTCTCGATCGCCTGGCGAAAGGTTTTAAAAGTACGGGCCTTCTTAGTATTGTTCGTTTGCTGAGTAATGTATGCAATTTTGTTATTACATTTTCATGTTGTGGGATACACAATACTAAAGCCCAGTGAATGACCTTTTATATATTACTATATCTTAAATACACCGTTAGTGACTTTAGATGCTGACGCGGCAGATTTTTTTCAATAAATAAATAACTAAATAGAAGCTGGACCCAAGGGAAGTATAGTCATCACCTAGAAAGTGATGTTGTGTCATTTACAAATTTACCGACATTTATTTGCAATTAAACCATTGCCATATTTTCGTAAGTTTCCCCAAAATGTTCGTCGTTTTCTTTGTTTTCTTCAGAAAACGGATATGCGAACCAAACGGCAACGCTGGTCCTTCACGTGCTCCTGTGAAGGCAGACGTCCATGTTGGCATTGGGATTCTGGGGTTCCGGTTGAAGTCCTTGATGAGCGACCACAAGGGGTGAGTTGATGGGGTTGAGAGGCTTCCTGCAAGGTTGGGAGAGATTGAGAGAGAGAGGAAAAGGGGGCGAGAGGGAGAGATTGGTTGAATGACTGTTGGCACACTTGGGTGTCGTGACAATTTAGATTATACGTTCTCCTCAAGTAATAAATATTTATGGGATTATTAATTTCAATTGCTCTTTTTCAGCAATTCCGTGGAAGGTATTTCTTGCCTAGATGGCGTGTGTGAGAACTTAAGGAAAAACTCGAGCCTCTCTGGGGC